GTTTGAAAAAAAAAAAAAAGCCATATGGAAATAAAGTTGAGATCAGTTCAGGGAATTAAACACCAACAACCACAAAGGTGTTTGCACAAAAAGCAAAACACACACTTCCACAGCTCAGGCACTCTGAATCTTTTGACTCAGTTTCCCCACCCACTGATAGGAATATCCTATACTGAAGACCTCTGGTCCCATGTTTCCCTCGCAGTTGTCAGAGGCACCCTGCACGCTGCCCATGGTCAGTGAAGCTACAGAGCCCGTCACATCCTTACACATCCTTGCACATCCTTACACATCCTAACACATCCTTACACATCCTAACACATCCTTACACATCCTTACACAAGCCCCGTTCAGCCCCAACGTGCCGTCCGGAGGATTCTCCTTCCTGACCCAGGGTCCTGCTTTCCTCTTGGCTCTCCTTGATTGAGCCTTCGTGGTCCTCTGCCTTTTGCACAGCCCCGGAAAGGGATTGTCATGCTTCCAAACTGTCCAACAATTATTATGATCTCTGTGTCAGTTCTTTTAACTCTTACTGTCATTCATCGTGAAATTCATTCTGGCAAAGCCCCAGAGGCCCTTCTCCCTTCTCTGTGGGGCTCTGAACCCTCATACGCCGTGACCCGGAGCTGAGATTGTGTTATGCAGAATTCTCACTCGCCCTGCGTCAAACTGAAAGCATTTTCTGCTTGTTCAATGGCTGGGAATGGCCCCCTCGTTAGCTGTGTAAGCTCCGGCCCTTCCGCCCTGCTATCAATAGATGGCAGCAAGCAGCTCCTGCTGCGCCCGGCGCCGCGCCCGGAGGATGCTCCGGCGGGAGCACGGAGCGAGCTTCCCGGCGGACCTCGCAGCCCGGGCGCAGCCTCCTCAGGGAGCGCCTCCTGCCCACTCGGGACAGAAAGGAATGGAGATGACTTCAGTAAAACGCCCCGACATGCTTGCAGTACGTTTACAACAGGTCAATAGCAGGAACTGAAATGCAGTTTACACTCGAGCTTACGTGGATCTTTACTGGTGTGCTATTCAGCGAATAGCAATGAGAGAAAGCAATGGTCAAAGTTCAGGGTGCCGTTTGCACCAAATTAAACCACAAGTTTTAACTCGCAAGGGGTGAAACTTTGGTACAGCCCTCTACACAATTTGTCTAGTTTGCATGTTTAGAAGATGCAACTTATATTACATGAAAATCTGAATGTGTATTAAAAATAACTTTTCTCTAGCAAAGATGAGTCCTTCAGGAGTGTCTCAAAACTACTGAATCCTCCTTCTTTGCGTTCAATGTGACTCTTTTATTGTCTGGACCAAATTTTTAAGTTCCTGTTTAGCCACTTTGTCTATTCAAATAATACTTTTTCCATTCACAGAATGCATCTTTAATCACAAATAACTTTTCCTCACACTTCACATACTGTCCCCTAAATCACATACCATTCCTTAATATCCCTTTTTCCTGTCTGACCCTCCCTTTCATCATTTCTCATGCTCTTAGAGTGAAAATCTTCACATTAAAGCATCTCTTTGCCATCCCACGGGTTGGAAATTCACTGAGTTGGACAGGTTATCTAAACTGGCCTACTGATCTGGTGACCTCTGAAGGATGTGTGAAATAGGAATGAATATGACTGAGTCTTGCTGCTGACATACCAATGGAGACACTGTGTTGGGGCTGCTTGGGAGGCATATTTTACTATTATATTTTACATATCTGCTCATAAACATATATTTTTAAGCAACAAAACTATTAAAGCAGATCATTAATATATTTTTTTTCACACAAAGGATAATATCCTGAGCAGATAAATGCAGTAAAAGAGGAAAATGTGCCTTCTTCAAAGCATTCAGATTAAGAATCTTGATTTTCATTGGTCATTTTCAATATTAAAAGGACTCTGAGCATTGACTTCAAGACCTTTAATTTCCTGCACCATCCTATATTCTTTTAGGAAGTAATTTTACAAAGAAAGAAAAGTATTTTGCTATTCTTTTCAGTAGCCAACCTGTTATATATGCTTAAGGCTTCCCAAATTCTGGACCAATTAGCAGTATCTTGCACAGATATTGACTGAATTAAAATGCAAAGTCTGCAGTCTCAGTGTCCTGCATGCCTACAGCAGAAAGTGCTGTGAATGTCCAGGGCAGCTAAAACTACATTAAATTCTGGCTTCTTGTCATCAGTGTCATAGTATGCTTGTTAGGTGGCATGGTAAGTTGAGCTGGAAAGAGATGGCTACATTTGTGGAGCGATCTAACATTTTCATTTTGTAGTCAAGGTTGGGGAATATGTGTACTGGACAAGCTGGAAGTGCCTCAGCACATCACAGACCTCTCCTGGCAGGTTCAAGACCCCTTTTCTCTTTTACCGCTTTCCTCTGGTTTTTTTTTGGTTTTTTTTTGGGGGGGGGGGGTTGTTTTGTTTTGGGTCTTATGTTTTTGGTTTTTTGTTTGTTTGGGGTTTTTGTTTTGTTTTGTTTTTTTGCCTTTTTTGTTGTTTTTGTTTTTGTTTTTTACCTCTTTCTTTCTTCCATCAGAAAGTTTTGTTGTTTGGAATTCACAAAGACAAACCTAGTTCACCATGGATTAAAGCCTTTATCATCCACCTGCTTTTATGGGCTCTTCTGACTTCACTGGTCACCCTCTCTGAGAATTCCTTTGGGGATTTTAAGCAAAATCATGTAGTTAACATCACACTGTCTTTAAATTTTAGCTAGTGACATCAGGCCTGTTTTCTTGAAGCTTTTTTGTGTTCCAGTTTTTTATTCAAAAGCCAAATATTCAGACTTACCACAGAAGTCTTTCCTTGTTTTTTTACACTGGCAGAATAACACTGAAGTATTCTTGCAGTCATCTCCAAGCATGTTTAGCTGAGCTTCAGGTTGGGGAGGACTTTCTGCCAAGATTAAAAGAGGCAAAGGAGAGTCATGAGATTAAGTGGAAAAGATTTCCTTAGAAGGGTGAAAACCAACAGTTTTCCTGTGAAGTTCTGATAACAGGGAGATAGCCCAGGGCTGCAATCAGAGGTAAAAAAACTCATGCTTGTTAATTTATTCTCCTTTTCTAAGCAGCAGAGATCACTGCAGAAAGGTATAACTGAGGAGACATGATTTGCTGAAGATAATTTGTGGTATGCAATTCTATTTCTACTTATCAAAAATGTGCAGAGGAGGGAAGTGACACCTACACTTGCAGCCAGAGGGTGGCCATAGATTTATTTCTGCTGCACTGGAAGCTGCATCCCCCTCTTCTGTCACGATTATTTGCACATCCAGTACCCAGTCAAAGTGCAGTCACATCCTTACTGTATGGCAGCCTCAGTCATGGGACTGTGGTGTGGGGGAGCAGACAGAACAGCTAGCTCCTCTATTCATCCTTGCAGGTCATGGATGTTGTAGGATGCACATCTGGCACAATTCAAAAAGAAGCATTGCTTTACACACAGCAGGTATGTGATTGGTCACAGCAGGGAAACTGCTGCAGAGACCTGGAAAGCTGCCAGCAGAAAGGACCTTGGGGTGCTGGTTGACAGTGGCAAAGCAGGAGCCAGCATGGGCCAGCTAAGACAAGAAGGCCAATGGCACCCTGGCCTGTGTCAGCAACAGTGTGGCCAGCAGGACCAGGGCAGTGATTGTCCCCTGTGCTCAGCACTGGTGATGCTGCACCTCAAATCCCGTGTCCAGTTCTGGGCCTCACTGCAGTAAAGACATTGAGGGGCTGCAGCGAGTCCAGAGACGGGCAATGGAGCTGGTGAAGGCTCTGGAGCACAATTCCTGTGAGGAGTGGCTGAGGCAGCTGGGGGTGTTTAGCCTGGAGAAAAGGAGGCTCAGGGGAGTTATCACTCTCTGCAAGGGCTTGATAGGAGGTTGTAGCCAAGTGGGAGTCAGTCTCTTCTGCCGGGTAAAAAGTGACAGAAGAGCAAGCAGCCTCAAGTTGCTCCAAGGGAGGTTTAGACTGACTGTTAGGGAAAATTCCTTCCCAAAAGGAACAGGCTGGCCAGGGAAAAGGTTGAATCACTGTCCCTAGAAGTATTTAAAAGACACAGATGTGACACTCAGGGACATAGTTTTGTGGTGGACTTCACAGTGTTAGATTTACAGTTGGACTAGGTGACCTTGAAGGTCTTTTCCAACCATAGCAATTCTATAATTCTGTGAAATGAGAGCAGCTTCTGATTGACACTACAGTATTTTGGCTCTGTGACCCCTTCCTAGACACAAAGATAGCTAGTTCTTAGATAGACAGTTTTTAGATGCATACAGGCAATGGCAACAGAATCACACTGTAGAAGGCAGGAATTTTACTTTAAAGTACATCTGGCACATGGACCACATCTCAACTAATACTGGTTTGATGAGCATAATCTTTTAAAACTATCTATCATTCTTAACAGGTTATATAACTAAAGGAAAGGAGAGTAATGGCAATAAATAACACAATGCACAGTCTTCACTGAAAGCTAATCCACAAAGCAACATGCAGTCTATACCCTCCAGGAAAATATTTTCTGTCATGGAGAATCTTTTCTACAAGACTTAAGATGCCATTCTGCAAGCCAGTAAGAAGTTCTACTCTGTACTGCACACAATTAGGAACTGTTACATAGGTGAAACCCTATTTTGTCATGCTTTACAAATGGCCATCACTGAACTAGTCTTTTATTACTTAACCAATATAAAAATTACATTTCATTACCTAAAAAATTTATTCATACAGTGATCTCAAAGTAAAGGATGAATATTTTAGATGTTTGTATTAATCAGATCTCATAGCACGCAGACCAATTTCAGTATATTCCCCAGCAATGCTTCTGCAAACTGCATCTCACCTCAGGCTATTTAAGACAACAATTGTACCAGATTCCCACTGCTTGTTTCATCTTCTTGCAGGTGTTTGCAGTCTTGTAGTCATACATGACAATTTAAGGAGAGACTGCTGTAAGTGGAAGGGATGACCCTTCCCTGTGCCATTTTTACAAGGCTTATTCCCATCTCTTCATCTCCTTTCACCAGCAGAACAGTGAATGCTGTGACCAGAAATCAACTGGAGGGCAAGAAGCAGCACCTGCCACCTTCCACTGCTGCACACATTTAAGGTATTGTAGTCCCCTCACTAATTTACTGTGGGTCAGGCTGGTGATGCCTTCTGGTCTCTTGTTCTAATTCTGCTACCACAAACCATCTGTTTTCTGCAGAGATTTCAAATACTTTTCAAAGCTTTTAGAAATAAGAGATTTTATGTCTGAATAATATTCTGTGATCTTATTTTCAATATGCATTGTACCCTATGTTTGTTATCTAGGGGGTTTTACCTTTTTTTTTTTTTTTTAATTCAGAACCATGGAAGCTGTTGGATCATGGCCAACTTTTCAATTATTTAACTTGGCTTTTCAATGGGAAGGGATAGCTTGAATTGTTAAACTAGTTCCTACTCTTTACTTTTTCTTGTTTGTTTTTTTGAAAAGAATAGGTTTAAGCATCATAGCAGGTTGGGTGATATATTTAATTTTTCATCAGTTTCTTGTCTGGTGACAGCATGTTAAATTTGCAGAGTGTTACATACTGGGCAGATATAAGAGCCTTTGTAAGTCAGCAAGCTTCATTCAGTCCTCACTTCAGAGAATTCCAAATAGCAATAGCATCACATCTTGTTTTCTTCATTCTTACTTAAGACTCTTTCTGCAACGTCAAAAATTTGTTTCTGCAAGGGAGCCAGAAAAAGAAGGATGCAATTGGAGGCAACAGACAGAAGCATCTTTCTCAGAAACATGGCAGAGTTGGTAGGAGAGAATTGAATTAGTCCTCAAAAATACTGAGAAGAATGGAAAACATTTGTGTTACCATACTTGGGAAAGGCAGAAACAGTGAAACAGGATGGAGAGGAAAATGCCATTTGGATCTATGAGGAAGGAATGTGTGCTTTGTAACATTCTCTGAAGTAGCATGGAAAGGATGTATTTACCAGTTCCAAACAACCATGTGATACTTTTTGAAGGAAACAACTTTACTGTGCAGAGTGAGAGGAAATATGACAGTTTAGATGTCAAGGTGACAGTTTTCTTTTGCTTTATGGAATTCTCTTGACACTGTATAGAAATCCATTAGCTACCCTGCTTACTACTCTAATACCTACATTTCTCCATTCTGTTTAGTATTGCTGGTGAGACCTGCAGCATTTCTTATTCTGAAGGCCTTGAGATATTTCCAAGATGCAGTATTTCATTGTTAGTTTTTGTATCCTTTAAGAAGAAGAGTGCAGTGTCAATCCTGTTACCATTTTCTCATTGTGTGCCCAGTCAAGGTAAATGTAGTCATTATAAACTTATTTCCCTATAACTTTGCTCAGAATGCTAAGAAAGTCTTATCACTTTTTCTTTCTTTCTTTATCTTAGGATGAGGGCAAATGTAAAACTGCACAACTGACCTATGCAAGGCTTTTCAAAGACCAAGATGACAACAATTACCCTTGCTTGTTGTGGTCTTGTTGTGGGCCCACACAACTAGTTATCATAAAACTAGTTGTGTTAACCTGCAAAAATATAAGGTGGGGAGAGAGAGAAAGAGAAAGAGAGAGAGAGAGAGAGAGAGAGAGAGAAAGAAAAAGAAAGAAAAGGAAAGAAAAGGAAAGAAAAGGAAAGAGAGAAAGAAAAGGAAAGAGAGACAGGGAGGCAGGAAAGAAAGAGAGGAGAGAAGAGAAGAGAAGAGAAGAGAAGAGAAGAGAAGAGAAGAGAAGAGAAGAGAAGAGAAGAGAAGAGAAGAGAAGAGAAGAGAAGAGAAGAGAAGAGNAAGAGAAGAGAAGAGAAGAGAAGAGAAGAGAAGAGAAGAGAAGAGAAGAGAAGAGAAGAGAAGAGAAGAGAAGAGAAGAGAAGAGAAGAGAAGAGGAGAGAAGAGAGAAGAGAGAAGAGAGAAGAGAGAAGAGAGAAGAGAGAAGAGAGAAGAGAGAAGAGAAGAAAAAAGAAAATAAAAAAGAAAAGAAAGCTCAGTGACTTCACGTTACCCCCTCCTTGTCTGGAAACCATAGAAACCAAACTGAAAGTACAGCCAAGAAGTTCGTCATTTGGCTATCTCTGGCTGATCTCCATGGAAACATTTCACTTTTTGTTGAAAGGAAAGATTTTCAAATCAGACAAACGGCCACAGTCTGACAGGTTATGACATCTTTGGGAAGAATTAAAAGAACAAAAACAATGACAAATATTTCTGCTTTACATATTTGTATTACACTTCTAATTTATGCTATTCATGCCTATTCTATTTAATTACAATTGCAGCCTTTCTTTCAGTTTTGTTAGCAAATCAGACATTACATATTGGGAAAAAGGTAATGCTCTGCCAACAAACCAGGGTCTATTAATTCTAGTATCCATTTTAGCTAGTATTTGCTCTAGAATATATAGATCACCCAATATGGGTTTTTACGTGCTTTGCCTGGAAGACTGAATAGATGTGTTGAATGTGTCATAACAACTAGAACTTAGAGTTAAGAAAATGTTCAACACTGGCAAGTCACATGTCTCAGAGTTAGTCTTTCAGGAGCCCTACAGAGTCAGGAAGGTACTTCTGCCTGTTTCCCACCCCCTTACCTTTTGAATTGCAATTAAAAGAAGCACTGGATGTTCACAGAAAAAAACTGCTGGATAAAACAACTAATATGGCAGGTCCTTCCATAGGACTCAAGGCTTTTATTGATCTATGTAAGTCCTTGGGTGCTTAGAGTTCATATCTGTGAGGGTGCTTTTGTTGGAGGTGGAGAGGTGGAGTGACCTGAGGATCTTACAGAAGTTTCAGAGTATGGTCGGTACCCAGCTGCTCAGCCACATCAGCTGCAAGGCTGCTCAGGGCACAACAGAAGGAGAAGGTTCTAGAAGACTCCTCCTTTACAACTCTATTTAGTTTTATGTAGGTACCATCTACACTGTATGTACTACCTACACTGCTAAGATGTGCCTAAGCAGTAGAGATATTCCGCTGAACTATGAATTCTGAAAATTAAGAAGTCTTGTTACAAAATGGCCCGAGCTACTAAAGCCCAATTCATTTGTCCTTAGGCAGTTCCAACTTACTGCTGCAACCATTCTACTCCTCAAAATTTTTATTTGCTTCTTTTACTGGTAGTGCACATAGCATAGGTGAGAAGAGGGTAAATATTTCTGCTAATTTAAATACACACAGAAGCTCCAATACCAGAAAGCACTTAGGCAACAGAGAAAGGAAAGAGGCTGATGCCATCTTAACTTAAACAGAAAAAAGAAGATAATCCACAGTTACCCTAACACTATTAAAGAATTATTCTGTTTATCATTGTATACAGCTCAACAAACTACAATGCATACGGGATATGACTTACAGTCTTAGAGAAGCCTCTAGATATCTCTGATTCATTGTGCAATGACTATTATTTCCACTATCAGATTATTGCATTATGACTTAGCTAATGCCTCATGGTGGCAGTTTATTACAGTGCTCCCAGCTGCAGCCTACCTGCTAAGAAATAGTGACAACAGAAATTCATGTAACAGAAATACTACCAGCAATGAAGAGACATCATCTGACTTCAGCTGAAGACAAACTGTCACTGAACAAAAGAGAGAAAATATGCTGATGCTTCCTAAAATTTGAAAGACTATCAAAATGCTGCAATGAATTATAGAGACAGAAGTAAACAGAGCAGGAAACTCAAGGAAGTAATGAAAGAACATTCACAAAGAGAAAGTGACAGGGAAAATATGGCTCTGCAGTATGTTTTATCAAATATTCAAAGTAAAATAATAGTCCAAAGACAAGAGCAAGAAAAAAGGTCACATCTATCCAGTTAGAAGGTACTTTACTAACATACAGATGAAAAAGATGACACTGTTTGGTTCAGAATATTCAAATCTGCTTAAGTATTCTAAATATTTTGACCACATCTGGTTTCTCTGTGCAGTTCAACAGTTAGAATATTAGTCAGAAGATGCCCTTTGTATTAATACCCCTTTAATAACAGAATATAATAAAACAGCAAACTGTACAGGATTTAGGTTAGGTTTGATTAATGATCTTAAAGTTTTCTTCTAACCTAAATGATTTTATTATAAAGTTGGTTAACAGTAGTATAGTTATTGCTTTCACTGCCCATAATTATGGTATGGATATGTCAGCTCTGTAGAGTTACAGACTTGATCTGTAAACATATGGGAAGGCAGGATGTATATTTTAACTGCCCAGGTATGTGCAGACTGACATTTTTCTTCTTGATTCCACTGAAGTTTGGGTGACATTTTTAATCAATTATTGAAATTCAAAATCAATCTTGAGAAATTTTTTTAAATTATTAATTTTTGGGGGCGTAAAAGTACTTTCTATTTGTTCTTATGGGATTAGCTGCCCAAACACAAGAAGAAAGTCTATTGACCTGGTAATTAAGTACCCAACAACATCAATCTAAAAGCTGTCTTTGTTTCCTGGTGCATATATAGAAAAAAGGAGCTGTAGGCAAGGCATCCAAATTGTCCTGCTCAGCACTGCTGCTTCCCACAGAGTATCAGTTTCAAAAAATCCATGGATCACCTGGAGAGAACCTAGAGGAAGACAAGAAAAATAATCAGGGGGTTACAAAATATCTTATATGGAATTTTAAAAAAACTGAATTAATTGCAACTACTTAGTTTGAAGAGAAAAAAGCTAGATGGAGACTGAGCATCCTTCTGATATGCAAAATCATCTAGTAGGGAGAGTAGATCAATCTGTTTCTGTGCCCATTGCAGGAAGGTTAAGCAACAACACACTTATACTGCACGTGGGGGATTTGGTCTAGAGACCAAGAGAGATGGGTTTCTAGCCCTTAACATTGTGATAGTTTTCCTAAGGTAGTCTTCCTGGAAATAGAGAAATCTCCATCACTAGCAGTTTTTGAGACCACATCACGCAAACATCTGTCAGGAACTATTTATGTATAATTGGTACTTCTTGGGCCAGAAGAACTTGATATATCAGAGTTTCCTTGCTTTACTCTGGAGACCAGAGCCACAGGCCCCTTCCATGGCAACTGAGGCACAGGGCAACCTCCCATTCCTGGTAAGCCAAATGGGACCTCATCATTTAATTGTAAAGCACT